GGACTCCGGGTAGCTGGGGTTTCAGGTGGGCATCCCCACACCTGGTTGAATTTGTCACTGTTGTCCAGGGGCCAGAACGATGCCTGACACTGGACGGCTGAGTGGATGAGTAAGCAAACCTTCGAGTGAGCTGAGCTCTCAGCTGCCAGAAGTCTTCACCGCCTCCTGCAGAGCACCCTGGCCCCTTGCTGACCTCTGCTATATTCAGACTTTCCCGAGGGCCCAAACCTCCTCTCTTTCAAGTGTGCGACTCCGAGTCTGGAGAGAGGGTCATGTGCTCCGAGGATATTCCCTGAGCCACAGCATGCCGCAGCTCTGGGCCTTGACCCTTTGCAGCCCCTCCTTCCTGGCTGGCCCACCCCTGCCCTGGTCACCTGCAGCCAGCTGTGGACAGGGACCAGTGCAGGCAGGGTGGGCTGGCCCTGTGCCCCCGCTGGCCTCCAGAGCTGCATGTGTCTTGGGATGAGCCCGGTCTTAGGATGCAGGTCATCCACTCTCCAGGGCAGGTGTGGAGACCCAGGCACGGGCCCTGAGACCCTGTCTATGAGGGGACCCCACAACAGATGCTCCTAACCAGTGCTACCCAAGCCTGTTTCACAGGAGCCAGAGGTTATGGTGGGTAAGAGAGCCCTGGGCCTGGAGGACGAAGGGAACCTGGCTGTTGGTCACATCGCTGCTGATGATGGTGGGACCTTCACAAATTCCTTCCAAGAGCTGAAATCCAGGTTCTTCACCTCTAAACCTGGGCATCTGACCACCTGGGGGTAGCTGAATAGGGCGCATCTCGTTACCAGGTCAGCTCTGCCAGGGCAGCCTGACTGCTGGTCACACGGGGTCTGCTATTCGTTCTAGGCTTAGCAGGAAAGCAGGGCTCTGGCCCGTTGTGGTGTCTGCTGTGGGCATGCAGATGAGTGAGGCCCCAAAGGTGCTGAGGCTGGGTGAGCTGATGTGGGAGGGAGCTTTGGGCTGCAGATCTGCATGAGTCTGTGCGGCAGCATGGTAAAGGAAAGAGCTGGGGGGTGGCCACCAAAATGAGTGGCTGATGGCCGTGTCTAGAGGCCTCCGAGGTCACATGGGCCATGGGCTGCGAAGGTCTCACTGACCCTGTGGAGACAGTGGTGAGCCTGAGGTCATGGATAGACAAGAACCCTGCTTGGCCTCCCGTGGGGCTGTGACCCCTGGTCGTGGAGGCCGGTCCAGGCGTGTTTGGATAAGAGGACCTGTGCTTGCGGCAGTGAGGCCTGCTGTCTGTCTTCTCAGGCTGCTAGAACAGAACGCCACATGCTGGGTGGCTTCCCGACAGTGGAAATAATCTCTCAGAGTTCGAGAGGCAGAGAAAGGTGAGGCAGAGACTCAGCGTGTGGGGGGGCCACACCGTCGCCCCGAATGCTTACATGGTGGAAGGGGCCAAGGGGTTCCCTGGGCTGCTGGGCTGTTCTGCCAGGGCCCTAATCCAGGTACAGGGACTCTGCCCCATGATCTATCCCCTCCCAAAGCCCTGCTTCCTGACACCTGCAGTGTGGGGGTGAGCAGGAAACTTGGGGCCACAGCACCTCCTCAGGACAGACACAGCCCCCCACTTCTCCCCGCACAGGGGAGACACCCCTGCATCTGGAGCAGGGTCAGGGTGAGTGTCATGGCCACTGGAGAGGGGTGCTCTGTCAGGTGGGACCTCGTTTCCCTCCTGTGAATGGGGATCCCAGCAGCCATGTGCCATTCAGGCTGGGCGGGTGAGGCTGCGTCCCACAGGAAGGCTGTGCCCTGGGCAGAGTCTGTCCCTTCACAGGCGTGCATGCTGCGATGATCTGGACATGGCTCCTCCAGAGCCCACATCCAAACAGACTGGCCTGGAAGCAGTGTTGGCCCTGGGTTACTAAGGGGTGATCAGGCTCTTAAAAAGAGGTCCCCGAAGCTGCCTTGCCCGTTGCATGTGGGGACACAGCGAGAAGACACCAGGAGTGTCCTTACAGGGCATCTCATCGGCAGGTACCTTGATACTGGACTTGGAACTTCCAGAGCTGCAAGAAACAAATTTCTGCTGTTTGTGAGCTGCCTAACCTGGGGTGAGTGTGTGTGCGTGTGTGTATGTGTGTACCAGGAAGCGAGCCCAGAGCCTCTGCGCTGAGCTGCACCCTCAGCACACACACCCCTCCTGACCTTTTCTGAATTTTGAACCCGTGTCTTGCTAAGTCACTGAGTGGCCTGGGCCAGGCTCGGCTGGTGATCCTCCTGCTTCTGTCTCTCAGAGAGCTGGGTGACACACATGTGCCTCTGCATGCAATTTGCGATGTTCTTTTTAATGGCAAACTAGAGCATAACTCAAAAAGGCAAAGAACTGCCTTCTCTCCGACCCATACACGGGCAAAGTGGTCTGTCCCTTTTGCCTGTACACTGCTCCCTTCCCCCTAAGTGTCCTCTGCATGTCCTGTTTTGTCCCCACACAGGACTGGGCTCCTTTTGGCCTCCATGCCTGCTGGGCTGTACGGTGCCCTTGCAGTAACTGCTGGTAAGACTTGGATGCTTGAATGTAGTTAGGAACCAGCCCAGGGTCCCCACTGATGCTCATGAGGGGGCTCAGTGAGGTGCTCTCTGATCTCTACTCCAGGGGGAGATCAAGGGCAGACTTGGGCCATGAGACCTGCAGGCACCAAAGGCGCTTCATTGCCATCCCAGCCCCTCCACAGCCCCGCAGGATCCGGGGTCACTTCCTGGGCCTTGGGAGGCACAGCGGCCACTCCTGGCAGCTCTGGCTGGCAAGCAATGCGTCCTCTAAAGCTCTGCTTTTGTTCAGTGGTATCACTTGGGGCCAAGGAGGTTTGCGCTGGTTTTAGAGTCCTGGGAGGATTTCCGGGCAACCTGCGGCCACACTCCCTGCTCTGGGAGCTTCGGCAGGCTCTCAGTCTCTGCCATTGGTTGTCCCAGGGGCAGGAGAAGCTGCCTCGGAGGACAGAAGACCCAAGTGGAGCTACAGGAACCTCAGGGATTCCATGAACATTAACAGTCTGCTGCCCAGAAAAGTCTTCACCTGGGGAAACCTCCTTAGTGATCTGATGTCATGTGTGATCTGATGTCATGTGTGTTAGAGTTCTGGGTGAGATTTTTTCCTTCAGGAAAACAAATTTCACTGAGAGAGAGAGACAGAGAGAGAGAGACAGAGAGACAGAGACAGAGACAGAGACAGAGACAGAGACAGAGAAGTGGGGGGAAGCAAACCAGAAACCTGAGACTGTGACTTCCCTACACTTGGGGGTGGAGAATCCAGACCGTGCTGAGCTTGTGGGTTCTCAGACCGGCTCTGGGAGATTGCAGAGGCCGAGACTCACTTCCTGCTTCCAGCCCGTGAGCCTCTGTTGCTCTTTTCAGGACTCTTGTTATCCTTCTGTGGTCAGAGGGCTGGCAGGGGAGTGGTCGGCTCCCAGGCTCTGTGCCTGGAGCCAGGCCCAGCCTCGGCCAGGGGAAACAGCCCCACAGGGGAGGTCACACAGCAGGAATCAGGGACACGGGCCTCCCTCCTCCCTGTGACTCTGAATTTGCGTCCTTTGAAGTTTATTTCTTTGGCTCCACCACTATGCTCTTTGAGTTCTTCTTTTCAGCCTCCTTCTTCTCCAGGGTCGAGAAGACCAGCTGAGTCTTTCCCTGGAAGAGCTGAGAGAAGGGGAGAATGGCAGGAATGAGGCGAGGTGGCACGGGCCTGCGGGGGGCTCAGCGCTGTCCCTCACTGCCACTCCCGGAGCCAGGGAGCACCCTCCTGTGGAAATCCTGCCAGTGGCAGGCAGCTGAAGGTGCCTCCAGCCCCAGCCAGGGTGCCTGGGCTCACGTCCAGCTGGGGACCCGGAGCTGTGTCACCCCCACAGTCCAGCCGCTTCAGTGAGGTTTAGGTGATTTGAAACCAAATTTGGATGTGTTCCAAAGCAGGATTCAGTGTCTGGGGAGGGCGCTGGGATCGTGGACGGCGGCCAGAGGGGTTGGAACCTTATCAGCAATGTTCTATTTTTTCCCAAGAAAAATGTACTCATGGACTATTTGTGTAATTAAAAAAAAAGCACTTGGAAAAAAATATCAGGCTTAAAGAACTTACTGTAAAAATACCAGCTGTTTTTAAAAAGATTCCAAACAAGTTCTCTGGCAGAGTGGGCGGCGGGGAAGGAGTGCGGGCTTCCGTCCCTGCCAAATGGTTTCGAGTCAGACTCGCTCCCTCGCCAGATTCCCCATCTGAGCCCGGGAAGCGGGGCCTGAGTTACCAGGTGCCCCCAGCCCTTGCTTCCGGTAACCAGGTGTGGCGCTGTGCAGCTCTTGGGCACTTCTGATGGGCGGGAGGGCTCCTTCAGAGACGCCTGCAGGGCGGGGGCCTGGGCTTGTAAGGGCTCCCGCACCATCGGCAGCAGCAGAGCTCACTGTGGGGCCATCTGGGCAGGCCAGCCGGGTCCTCCCTGGACAGTTATGCCAGGCCCTAGGAATCTTCTGGGAGCCCTGGTCTCGGTGCAGCGAGACCGAAGTCTGGCCTTGCTGCCTGGTCAGTCGCTTCTCTCTCTTCCCTCAGAACTGGACAGCCATGATCCATGGGTGCCATCAAGACAGAGATGGTCTGGTCAGGGACGCTGGCCCAGTGACCCTACCTCCCCCCCGTCACTATGGCAACAGCTCAAAAGAGTCCCAAGAGCCTAAGAATCCTGCCTCCACCGAGGGCGGGCAGAGGGCGAGGTTGGATGAGGTCAGACAAAGAGGGACTAATAGGGTCCTGTTCTCAGCAAACCACAAAGTGCCACTATTCCAGATAGCAGCGGCATACCAGGAGACCAGCAGGCTTTCAAATCCCAGCAAACCTAGTAACCTGATGAGGATGGTTCCAGCACGGTCCAGAAAGCCACCCAGAAGCAGAATTAGAGGAAGAGAAAGGAGGGGTGGGGTAGGGGAGGGAAGGGAGGGGTGGGAGAGGGGAGAGGGTGGGGGAAGGGGAAGGGGTGGGGAGGGAGGGGTGGGGGAGGGGGAGGGGGAGAAAAAGTAGAAATAACCCAGCATTCGTAGACCTCATGGCCCTTCACCTGCTGCATGGCTCAGAGCGAGGCCCCAGCCCTCAGCAACAAAGGCGACCGTGTGCACCGAATGGAAACCTGCAGAATATCAGGAGGATACCGAGCAAGCCAGTCCCCGACGTCTGCACCAAAAAGATGACATTTGTGCATAAAAATGTGTCTACATATGTATGTACAGCAAAATACAAAAGAAAATAATTTAAAGTGTTAGCAATAGTTAGCTTTAAAAAGTAAGATGATGTGGAATTTAAAATTTTGGCTTATCTGGATTTTCTTTAATGAATATGCATTTCTCTTGTATCTCTCAAAGCTTTTTATTTCCTTAAACATTACTGTAGACAGAGAGTTAAAGGGCTGTCATTCTTTCCCTCATGAAAAGGTGCTGTTTTGAAGAATCAAGCTTTCTTTGTAACTAAAGTTTTATTAATTTGAATGCTAATAATTTAAGAAGTATCATCTTCAGACTCAGCCAACCATGAACGGGCATCTCTGGAGGAAAACCGTGTCTGTGATAAACACACAGAGGCTTTTTCTTGTCATCATTTCCTCAAAAATATAAAAGAACCATGTATTTCCCTTGTACATGGTATCGCATGTGGCTGAGATATTGCTTCTACCTCACCGCCGCGTTGAGAAGCCGACATGTGCTTGTAAGTGGTTGAGAGATTGTTTTTTCAGGACTTTTATAGGTAAATGGATGCAACTTGAGACCCTACTCATTAGTGAACTAAATAAGACACACGTGTGTAAACACCACATTGTCTCATTGGTGTAAGAAGCTGGAAGAAACAACGTATGTATATGTGTGTATATGTACATGTGTATATACTGTGTATACATGTGTATGTGTGTCTGTATATGTGTATATATGTGTATATGTGTGTATGTGTGTATGTATATGGTGTGTATATGTGTATGCATATGTATATAAAAATAGTGATAGTTACATTACTGACTTCTCTGAGTGCACTGCAGAGAAAGATTTGTGCTGTAATTGTTCAGACAATTGAATGCAGATGTCTTGTGCTCTGGGTGAACGATTTGGGGATGACAATGTGCGACATATGTACCATTGTTGCTCCCTGATTGACATGCTTTTGAAATTTTCAATCTTTTATTTTTCTCCTTAAAATAAAATGGATTTGGAAAAAGAAAAAGAAAACAAAGTATACAGGAGGATTTGTGATGCCGTGCCTTCTATACAAAGGACTTGAACATCCAGAGACTCTGGACTCCGCGAGGGTCCCAGCACCAAACCCCATCTACTCACAAAGGCTGAGACAGCTGTTCCCAGCAGCACGCACCCTCATACCTTCTTGGGATAGATCCCATAAGAGTTGAAGTGTAATCTCATCAGGAGGAAGGGGCCAAATTCTCCATGTCCTCCGATAATACTTGGACCTCCAGGGCCATTGGAAGAGTGGCAGTGTTTGTGTCTGTGTCTCCACCTTCAGAGTCTCTAGACTGGTTTCTTAGAGCTTTTCCAGCTCCTCCAGGGCATACAAACCTTCAGTCTCAGAATCCCAGTCTTTTAATAGGGCGCTTCTACCTCACCGCAGCATTGAGAAGCCGACATGCACTTGTTAGAAGTGTGAGCCAAGTAGAGGACCGGGACCGGACCTTGGCTGCAAGCTCTGTTCGAGGGGAAAACAGCCAGTCCCCACAGGCAGCACTTACATCAGGACAGAGCTTGGAAGGGACAAACACGTGAATCACGCTACGTGTTATCCTGATAGTGGCTGGCAGCTGTTGGAAACCAAAGGAAGTGAGGTGCTCCTATGTGTGTTTGCTATTTTTATTTGTTGATTTATATTTTTTTTCCGGTGTTAGAGGATGGAGCCCAGCTCTGCACATGTGCTAAGCCTGTTACTTAAAGGACGGTTTAGTGTGCTACAGGAAGACAGAAATATGGGCTGTAAAATACAAAAGGAAGAAAGTCGAGCTGTAAAAACAAGCTACAAGGGATATTATATGTGTTGTCTCTTCTAACTGATAAATTCAAATATATTCTCCTTTTAAGACAATCCATGAGGGAAATTTATTTCTGGCTCCTGTGCCAGAGAAAGAGATGTCTTAATTAAATTATTGATTCTTTTTATGTCTCAGGTCTGTGAATATTATAAATAATTGCATTTTCTGCTTTGTCTGGTCCCTGAGAAACTCTGTATATAATCTACATACTACCTTACTCTTGGTTTGATTACAGACATACTTTCATTTTTCCCAGAATTCTTTATTTGAATTTATCTTATTTAAATTTTCAAAAGTTACATCAAATTATTATGGTATGAAGTGGAATATAAAAGAAGATCTTTTTAAAGGGTGCGTTTGAAAAGGCAAAATAAATTTATCACTATCTCTCGAGCAATTCTCCAATCCTTATGATTGCTCATTCAGTGGATTGTTTTTAAAGCTACTTGAGTGTGGGCATATTTCTTTATGTTAAGCAGCACTTTAAAAAATTAGGAAGTGTAGGATACTGTAAACAGAAGCCATGGAAGAAAAACTGGACTCTGTCAAAATTTAAAACTTTGGTGCTTCAAGTATATCATCAAAAAAGGAGAAAGACAGCCCACAGGATGGCAGAAAACACTGCAAATCTCATGTCTGATAAGGGACTTACATCTAAAATGCATAAGGGATTTTGCAACGCAGTAATAAAAAGATTTATAACCCAATTTAAAAATGGGCAAAAGAAATAAATAGACACATCTCCAAGGATGTGTAAATGCCTACCGAGCACAGGAAAAGTTCCCGACATCGTAGTTATCAGGGAGATGCCAGCCAGGCTGTGAGATGCCCCTTTCATGAGAATAGCTGCCATCAGACATTGGGGGTGTTAGTGAGAGGAGGCAGGGACAGGAACTTCATCCTTTCCTGGTGGGAATGTAAACTGGCACCGTAACTCTGGAAAATGATCTCGCAGTTCCTCAGAAATTTAAATACAGAATTACCCTATGTCTCAGAAATCCACTCCTGGGAATAAACCTTAAAAAAATGAAAACACAAGTCTACATGGAAACTTAGACATAAATATTCATAGTGACATAATTCATCATAGCCTTCAGCCGAAAAGGGGTGAACAAAATATGGCATATCCATACAGGTGGATATTATTTGGCCATAAAATGAGTAGGCCATAAAATGTCACATCCTGTAAAGATGAACCTTGAAAACGTTATTCTAAGGACAAAGAAGTTGGGATTACCAAGGTCACGTATTATATCCTCCCATCTGTGTGGAATGTCCAGAAGGGCAAATAAATAGGGACAGAAGTCTCTGCTCAAGACTGGAGAGTTGGGGAAGCTCACGTGACAGCCAAGGAGTAAGGAGCTTCTCCTCTCTGAGGCGATGAAAATGCTTTACTCTGGTTTTGGCGGTGCTCGTACAGTACTTGGATATGATAAAAGCCATTGACACTTAGGATTTAATGGGGGAATTCAACGATATATGAATTGTGTCTTAATGCAGCTGTTTAAAACCAGGCAGGAGGTCGTCATCCTGCTTGGCCGGCGGAGTGGGCTGGGGGTGATGTCCAGGTCTGCGAGTCCTCATGAGCTGGAAATGCCCTAACACCCACCACCTCAAGGAGTAGAGGCTCATGTGAGCTCATGGCTTTAGTCCCTGGCTGGCCGGCAGGACTGTGTGGGGAGGGGCCTGGCCGAGGAAGGGGGCAGCTGGGGAGCAGAGAGGGAGGGCAGAGCTAGGGGCCAGAGCGTGCCCCAGTTTAATATTAAATAACAGTTCTCCAGGCCTCATGGCGCGAGGACCTCAGCAAAGTTCTAGGAGGCCAGGGATGCAGGACAGGCAAGGGCACCTTCTCTGCCCAGCTCCCAGGGAGCCTCAGTCAGGTGGCCCGAGAGGCAGTGGTCCCTGCGCCAGTGGTCATGTGCCCGCTGGCCTCAGCTGTAGAATCAGCAGGATTTTAGTCTACGCCCTGCACCTGGGTTCTCTTGGCTCCTGAACTGGACCTTGCACAGCTGATGCTGAAATGCTGGGAAGAGAGGCTGCTGGCAGCTGCAGGCTGCCCAAGTTTAAGAAGCTTGAGTCTGGAGTTCTCAGGAATAAGAATGCGGTCAGCCAGCACCAGGCTCTGGTGTAGAGACAGAAAGACCAGGGCACAGGCCAAGAGGACCGGTCCTCTGAGGACCTGGGAGACATTTTGGAGCCGTGTTCACTGAGTCCAACACCAAACCATGAGTTAATGCTATTTCCTTGCCATTTAATTAATTAATGACACTGAGGATTGAACCCAGGGCTTCCCACTGAGCTATATCCCCAGCCCTTTTTCAAATTCATATTTTAAGGCAGGGCCTTGCTAAGTCTCTAAGTTGCCCAGGATAGGCTCAAACTTGTGATCCTCCCACCTCAGCTTCCCTGACTGCTGGGAACACTGGCAGGCCCCACCGCACCTGGTTGTTTGCCGTTTTTTGCAGTGCAATGGAGATTTGGCCAGTCATTCGGAGAGTAAGTGGAGATTCACACCCAGCACATCTGAGCCAAAGCCCCTTTTCTTTCTCCTGGACCAGTTCCCCTGATATCCTAAACGGAACAGGTCCAGAGGAGGAGACTCCCCCGTCCTCCAAACACAGAGACTCTGCTCCAGGCCCAGGTTTTCAGGAGATTCTTGGGGCTCCCCTGAGGGTGTGACCTGCCTTCCAGACATCCCGCTTGTTTCTCTCCCCCCCAGGATCCTGCAGCGGACCCTCTCTGAAACTCCAGGCTGGGGCTGCTGCTGCCAGTCTCACGGGAGAGGAGGAGAAAGCATGATGGGAGCTCCTGCTCCCTAGCTTCGTTCCGTCTCTCTCTCTCAGGGTGCCTTTTGTTGCCAAGGAAGATAAAACAGATGTCTTGGCAAGTGCTTCAGATGCTTCCTGCCAAACCAGGGGAGAGCTTGTCTGCAGTCTAGATTCGGCCAAGGAAGACAAGTCCCAGCCGGCCTTAGTCACAGGAAACACATGCACACACACGCACACGCACACTCAAGCTTCTTAAACTTGGGCAGCCTGCAGCTGCCAGCACCTCTCTTCCCAGCATCTCCACATCAGCTATAGAAACATGTTGCTCCCCGGCCCCCCTCGCGTTCCGAGGTCACTGCTGCTATGCAGCCTGCATCATCCCGTGTCCTCCGCCCGGCAGCCCTGCCTTTGGGGACTATTCCCCTGCCACACTCAGGGCATGGGAATTGACAAGGCACACGTTTAAAGTTTATCGTTTAACTGCTTGAAAGTGAACAGTCTGACGGAGATTCACAATGCCCACAATGTCATGCCACTATCACCCCAAAAGGAAAACAACCCACCAAGCCGTCACCCCACCTTCACCTCCACAATCTGGCCGCTGTGTCCTCGAACTGCCTGTCCTGGATATTAAATGCGACACTAGGGCACAGGATGTGGCCTCTGGGGCTGGCTTCTTTCTTTTGGCTTTATTTTTCGGGGTCCCTCCTCTTACTGTGTGTTTTAGCACCTCTGTACTGGTATTTTACTGCTGTACCTCGTGTAATTTATGACTGGACAACATTCCATTATATATGTGTGCCAGTGCCATATTGTGTTTATTCATTCATCCGTTGATAAACCCTGGCTTATGTTGTAGTCAGGGTTTGCAAAGGAATAGATTTAATACAGGACATATAGTTTATATAATTATTTTTATCATATTCGCCAAAAAGTCAAATGCATAATGCAGGAGACGTGTCTACACACGGAAACTCAAAGAATCTAGCTGAGGGCCTAGATCCCATGGCAATGTTCTGCATGAGTCCAGCTGAAGACCTAGAGCCCATGACAGTCCTCCCCAGTCCAGCTGGAGGTTAAGAGCCCACAACAATGTCTCATGCAAGTCTACTTCAAAGATGTGCACTAGGAAGGCCCAAAGGTCAGTGGTGGAAGCCAGAAAGTCTGTGCCAGCAGGGTGAAGGATCTGCGCCAGCAGGCAGAGGGATCTGCACTGGAGCCAGGAAGCGATGCTCAAGGTAAGGACCAGAGCTCCCCCCAGAAAGATCTACCGCCATCCTAGGTGACTGCGAGGTCCTGAGCTCCTCCTCGGACAATAATGGCAGAAGTCATATCAGGAAAACTAGCACAACAAGCTTCTCCAGGAGAAGCAACAGCACGGCTCTCCCCCCCAGCTCCCCTTTCACAGCGGTCCTCAGGGGGGCCCTCCACGCCCAGCACCACACAGACTCAGGTCAGCTGGGGGGCTGTGATGACTGTTATTCCTGTCTTTGGGCTGCTGTGAATAGTGCCGCTATTTGCACAAGTTTTAGTGCCTGTCTTTGATTATTTTCTGAACTAATGTCACAAATACAAAGACAGTTTTAAAGTTATAAGAGAATAAGAGTGAGATCTGAAATCTGGCTAAAGGAGACAAGTTTCCTGAAAGTTCATGATCTACATGAACTTGAAAATAATTAGAAAAACTTGAGGCCAATATGCAAAGAAGAAACACAGATAATTATCCATGACTGAGTCCCAGGAGGGGGTGTAGCTGAGTGACAGACAGGAGAGGATGGAGACCAGAGCAGTGCAGGCGACTTCATCACCCGCTTTGCCATTTACTGAGGAGTCGCTGTCCAGATCCCCACAGGAGTCTGGGGCTGCTCTCGGATGTGGTCTCCAAGGCTCCTCCTTACACAGGGTCCCTGGAGACAGAGGGATCAGCGGTCTCCTCGAGCTGAGCCCAAAGCCCCAAATCCAAGAAAAAAATGACTTCTGGAAAAGCAGAGCCAACAGCAGGAGGCTGCCCCTCCCTCAGTAGCAGTGACAGTGTCTTAGGCTTAAAGCAGGTGACAGGAGATGACGTCTGTAATGTTCCTACCTTGTAACCATGAGACAAAGCAAAGCAAAGCAAAGCTCTGGGGACACTGCCAGCAGCAGGGTGGGCCTGTCCTGTTTGGACCCTGCTTTAGCGCCCTGTGAGGACAGCAGCCATCCAAGGTTGCAGGGCTGCTGGGCTCAGCTCCCGCGGGCACACAACAAGCAAGAAAGGGCAGTTTGTCCTCCTCAGGAGCCAGGGGAGACTTCAGCCTGAGGCCGAGGTGGGCCGAGGGCTCCCGTCTCCTTGGGGCCACACAACCCAGTCTCCCAGCTTGCCAAGGGTCCTGGGGAGCCCCTGGGGTGTCGTTTAGCTCTG